GTTTTTATTTAATACACTCTATAAAGTGATGAAAAAAGGAACTTTTGTTTGTCCATCGTAGAGTACAGAAATGCGGCGAAATCTTCAATTTTGTAGATATGTAAACTTACGTCAGATAATTAAAACATCGACTATCCCAAAGCGTATGATAACCACGTGAACTATCATGAAAAAAGCAACCAGCTGTACCATCAAACATATTAAGTCCATCAAGAACATTTTTCGAACTATGACTATGCACAAGATCAAGTATAACAGTTAAGCCGTGTTTATGTGCTTCATCAATTAATGCTTTTAATTCTTCCGGTGTACCATAACGGCTAGAACACAGATAAACTAATCAAAGAATAAATTATTTCAATAAATAAACCTTGATGCAGCAAAAAAATTGGTTACTTGATAACCAAAACTAGCATAATAGGAATGTTCCATAATAGCCATTAATTGAATTGTATTATAGCCTATATGAAAAAAATATCTATTTATTAAAATTCGAGAATATTATTATAAGTAAACCTTGTTTTACAATATGAGGAATAACATTAATACGAAAATTTTTATATGTAGAAACTTCTTCTTTTGGTGAGCTAATTCCAACATGAGCTTCATAAATTTTTAATCGATCACGTTTTTTTGGTTGAGGATATTTAAATTTATAGATTTGATCCTCCGGTGGATTATAAAATACTCCATGATATACATTGGATTTTTCTGGGCGTTGTACATAACGTGACCATGGACAAATACGATCCACTAATTCACCATCAGAAGTTTCCAAAAGTAACTAAAAGAAAAATTTTATTTTTAGATGACGAGATTTTTTGTATATTACTTTAATTGCTTGGCCATGTTTGATTGCTGGTGATCCATCGGGTAAATGTGGAACTGTACCTCTCCATACACCCCATTGATCACGTGTAAATGGATATTGTTTTTCTTGCCAGTTATCTAGATTCAAAAAAGCGAAAGATTATTTTAATAAAACTTTCAGTACAAACTAAAATCTCCACGAATATACATTGCTTTTGCATCGGGTGCCCATTCTTTAATATTTATTTCATTTGTTTGAGAATTAACATGAATACCGAAGTGTTTATAAGCAGATGTAAATACATCGATACCTTGTTCTTCACTTTCAAGTTGTTTAAGAAGTTTTTGAAAGACGTAATAACTGAAAACAAAAAAAAACAAATCACCATTGATTTTACATGATTTTTTTTACCGTCTTCGAATTTCATCTTGATATGGTGCAAGATATGGATCAATTCTAAGTAAACGATCTAATTCAGGTACAACAACATTCGCGTGATCTTTTGCTGCTTCTAATACTCTAGAATAAAATTCTAAGATAGAACAATATGTTTTGATTAAAACTAACTTTTGTAAATTAATCACTCCGGAAAACATTAATGAATTTATTACGTCGAAAGCGGAATATTTCTATGTTTAACCACTTTTTTTTTCTACTAAGTCTGACCTTGCGTTAGTGTATAACTGTTGATAATTTCATAGAGAACAGAAAAGAAAGAAAAACTGTTATCCGCATTGGTGGTACTATTTCTTTGTGAAGCAAAGCAAGGCAAAAGAGGTCAGCTTCTGCTGATATTTTTTACATTCTTTTTTGCGAAAAATAACAAGCAGTGGAAACGATAGTCCTACTGTATAAAAGAAAGATAATTATAGACTTATCGTTGCTATGCCATCAATCTATTAGTGAGCTATCCCAATGCTAATTCGGCTTCGATTGTATTGTAGACCTAAAAATTTTTTCATGCATATTAGAAAATATGGTGTCTAACGGAATACGTCATCAGAAACATTTTATAATTTTCATCAATCCATTTGTATATTTCTAAATATGTAGAAAAAAATACGGGGGTGTGGGATGGGTGTGAGTGAAGGTATAGATCTTTCTTTTAGTAACACTCGCACTCCACTTCACTCTCTCCTCTATCGAATTATATATTTTGAGTCCGATTTATATTCAGTTAAGCCTAAGAAACCTATAGCTTTCTAGAAACCCGATAGTGGCTCGGATTTCTTGAGGTTTTCAAGGACCTGTCAAAGTATTTTCAATTTTAAACTGCATCAATGCGTAGGGAACATTTTTTTCTATCGAATGAGCTATTTTTCAAAGTGTTTTGCTTAAAAATTCATGTTTTAGAAAAGGAGTAATAAATGTGTCCAAACAAAATTTTTGCGCAAAAAATCAAGGAGTTTCTTGAAAATTCTACAAAATCTATAAAAGGTGTCTGTTCAGAGAAACTTTTTACTTTTAGAATAAAGTAGAGACTCTGGGCTATCGAATGATGTAATTAAAGTTAGGAAAATGTTTTTCCTTCACTGTGAAATTTGCTTTACAAAATCGGTGTAGTAAGTGTCCAAATAATTTTTTTACATATTGTATATGATGGATTCAGTATTGATGAATGATCATAACAATGAAAATACGTGAATACTGCATCAATATCTATTGGATATGTTATAATATCTTGTAAAAACTTTTTAAATGTTGATTCGATACGAAATTCATTTAATTTTAGGATAACTACTACAATTATTTATTTTCAGCTTTAAATGAAAAAGCTTCAGAAATATGATTTCTTCTATATCACACTACTCGTAAACGAAATACAATTCTTCTAGTTAACAAATAAAAAAGTCTTTGACTCTCATAGATCTTACATCAGAAACATTTTTGATGCTCAAGTCATGTATTAAATTAATTATTTGCTGACATGCATGAGCTATCTTTTATTAAAATATAAAAGAAAAAAAAAGGAATTCCAGACACTTGAATCAATATATTCCGAAGCAAGAAAATGATGTTACTTTGTCTGTGATAAACAGTAAGTACAGTGAATGATCACAAATTCAATTCGAAAGTAAGAATTATAGTTTGCATGTACATTGAATTTTTGACATTTTCTGAAAGAATTTTTAAAAAATTATAACGAAAAAATAATATAGATTACATAATTCAAATAAATCTGATAACATCGAATAACTATGATAATTTACTTTATTGTTATTCTGTAATAGAAATATGACAGTTTTCAGTTGATGCCATTTCTACAACATAAGAAGTCCATTTATCGTTAATTGCTAGAGGTTAATGTATCATTATTCAATAAATATTTACAAAGAAATTTATAGTTTAACGATAAAAAGTTCTCATATGTATCAAAAATAAATAGTTCAATATCTATGTATGTACCTTGAGTATTTTTATTAGGAATATTGACTGTATCGAAACGACGTTTTTAAGTTGATCCTTCTGTTTTTCTCTGTATATGATAATACAAACATGTTGCATCATCTATATTGTAGTAAGATGATTGACTAGAACAAATCATCGAGTTAGATTTCTTTTTTTTCACGAACATCTGAAATTTGCTTCGAGTCAAATTTAATGTCTTCTGCGAAATAAACAAAATTAGTAAATCATTTGACGACACCCAGAAAGATATTTTCAATTTTTCTCAGAAAAAATGAAAAATTTTATCTGAGAAAATTGTTATGCAGTTCAATACCTATGTGTCGACTCAACTAATATAGATACAACGCTGAATAATTAGAGTACATCAAAAACAAAAAGGAATATAAAAGATCTCTGCCATCAAAAGAATGATAAATTAACTTATTTTAAATGTTTTCAGAAAATGTCTTCACAGATGAAACAAACAACTTCAGAGCAAAATGAATAAATCTTATCAATTGATTTAGACAATCAAAATCCAGATTTAAAATCATTTCACGTCCATTTCGTTGGGATAGTTATGGTGAAGGAAGTGAACCAAAAACATTAATTGAATCATGAATGATAGAATTGAGTGAAACTATTCGACATAAATGGAAACAAAAAGCTTTAGAACAATCATTACTTTCTGAAAAACAAATTGATTATGGAAAATGTACCAGACATCAAATAACATGAGTTATCAATGATAAAATTCATTTTATTCATGTTGATGATGCTCTCGAACATATTGATCTTGGACAAACAATTAATATAAAAGCAAATTTTTTATCATCAAATTCAAATAATAAGCGACAAAAATTATCTGAAGATTATATTCGATCAAATTTATACCGATGGATATCGACTAAATTCAATATTGCAAAAAAATGGTCAAGTTAAAATCGAATCATATATCAATGATTTACATCCAATATCAACATAAACAATTATATTAACTTATTGAAAAAAAAGTTTTCGATGTTTTATACCTTTGTTTAATAAAATTTTAACTAATTTATTTTATAATCAAAATAAACCAAATCGAATTATTGTTGATCCTTATCATGGAACGCTAATGAATCACCATCTTCGAACGATTATACAACCTGATGTTGAAGAATTTCATATGTCTTCATTAACAAGTTTATATATTGATTAATGTGGAAGAAAATAACAAAATTATTGTTAAATTAGCAAATATAATGTTAACATCTTCAAATCCAAAATATTTGAGTGGTGTTTGGCATGTTGAAGAAATGCATAATGAAGGGTGTGGGTGAGTGTGGGGTGTGGGGTGTGGGGTGTGGGGTGTGGGGTGTGTGGGTGTGGGTGTGCGTGTGGATATGAAGATAAGACACCCACACCCACCCACGCCCACACCCTCAAGATAGCTTCTTCTGTCGTTGAAATACAAAGCTAATAACATAATTGCTCGGAGTTGTAGAACAATTTTGATAGCCACTGTATCTTAATCGCATCAAACAGATCTCTGTTCAAGATCTGTTCACTTCTGTATTTTGAATTCATTTTGCAAAGGAAAAAAAGCAGATGCAGGACATTCATTCAACCCATAATCTAGATATCAAATAATATCATCTGTTAACCAACTTGTGTTTATTGAAGGTGGTATGAGTCATTGGAGTTACCAACTATTAAACTATACAAGTTCGCCTTTTTTCTTTACACTCTTATCTACCTGGTGACCTTCGTTCTCTCTTCATCTATCTTTTCATTATTATATTTTCATCGCCATAGAAAGATGACCGAGGTTGATAATGAAGTGGAGATTGCACCAAGAAAGATCTCCTTTACTAATTCAACAAGGGAAATTCGATCAAGAGCAACATCAATCGTCAATATTATTGCGGATAGTTTTCATACGTCTATAAATTCTGTTATTCCAGCCGTCAATGAACAGATTGATGATGATGATGATGAACTTCCTTTATTTTCAATTCGACAAATATATAAAAATTTAATTATTTTTGCATTAAATTATGTATTGCTGTTCACTGCTTATAGTGGCATAGCCGTACTACAATCAAGTTTAAATACAGAAGGAAATGTTGGTGTTAATTCTCTCATTGTATCTAATGCTTTTTTCTTTGTAAGTCTACTTGATAGAATTTCATAGTAGTGAAAAATATTTATTATTATTTATAGGTTAGTTCAATATTTCTCACGCATATGTTAATCGACATTTTTGGACTCAAATGGACGGCGATTATTTGTGAAATAGGTTATATTTTCTATATTATTGTTAATATTCGACCTCTACCATCACTGATGTATATTAGTGAGTATTGTGTTTTGAAAAACTGATAAAATTAGTTTTGTTTTTAGGCGCCGGTTTGGTTGGTCTTGGTGCCGCGCCATTATGGACATCTCAAGCAACGTATATAAATCGTATTGCACGTTATTACGCTCATCATAAAGAGAAAGAAGTTGGTGTTATTGTTAGTTTATTTTTTGGAATTTTTTATGCCATTTATTATACAAATCTTATTTGGGGAAATTTACTTTCATATCTTATACTTAATCAATCAAGTCAATCACAAAAATTTAATTGCGGAATTCATTTTGATCCATTATCAAAAATACAAACTGGAGCATCGAACAATGTTAGTGATGTGACAGTAAGTGATGAAATTTTTTTTTTCTTAGTATTTTTTGATTTATTTAAGCGTTATGTTCTATGTGGAATATATGCTGGAATGGGTATTTTGTCAATAATTCTTTTAGTTTTAGTACTTGATCAAATTCGATTAGCTAAACCACGTAAAAAATTCCTTAAATAAAATCTAAAATAAAGAATTTTTATTTGATAGAATCTGTTAGACAATCATTAAAGAAAAGTGTTGAACTTCTTCAATCTTTAATTCAATGGAAACATCTTAATCAATTGTTTCTTAGTCCATTAATAATATGGTCTACAGTTGAACATGCATTTTTAGTTGCACAATTTACTCGAGTAAGAAAATGATTTCGAAGACGAACAAGTTTTAAGTTCGATTATTTTAGGCATTTATCACTTGTTTGATTGGCATTCGGTAGGAATTTTAAATGTAATACTCCTTCGACTTGAAACTCTTATCTATATTTCTGACGAATTGGTTTTGTATTCAATCTAATTGATGAATTAACAAAAAAAAGGATTTTATTCGAATTATCATGACTTTCTAAAGAACGCTTAGATACCTGCATGCAAGGCAACCTTCAGAAACATATATGAAGGACTACAAAATATCGATCGATAAAAACTTTCAGACGGAAATAAAATTATAGAATTTGCTATTCATCGAATGAAATGTTCCAAATTCGAACATCAAAGAAAATCTATCTGCTTATAGTCGAAAGGAAAAGTACATTCTCATTCATACGCTGATTGATGTGCACAGTACGATAATTAAGTGAAATACTATGTCTAAACTGCAGTTAATGGTAATAAACAGATTTTAAAACACCTGACAATGTTTTTTTTTCGGTGTTTTTCTTTTCTAGCATTTATTAAAATATTTGTTAGAAACATAAATTTTACAACGCTATCTGATGTGCAAATTGAAAAACTTCGGAACATCGGTTTTTTTATATCTTATAACGAAAAATTTTCAGGATAACACAAGATTTTTCGAGATTTAGGATTGTAGGAACGCTTTAAATAAATAACCGAAACTAAAGAATTTTGTGAACTAAATTGTTATGAAATTTTTCGAATTCTATGGTTTTATCTCTCATAAGAAGTTCTTTCGATATAGTACATTTCTCCCAAGTGATCCAATAAATAAAATCCTATTAAATTGAATGAAATCTGGAATATGTGATGATCAATGAAAGAACAAAAATATTGTTCTTCCATCGTTATTATATTAATTGATGTATGTGATACTTGACATTTTACTGCTAAATTGTTTGATCTTTTCCAAAGAACTTATTTCCAACGTTCATCAATGAACATAATAATAATGTAAAGACAATTTTCTTTCCTTTATTAATATAATTATCGTATATCCTAGATTTTATTCAATTAAATAAAACTCTGATTATTTGACTACTTGGAAAAAACGTCACATGTCGAAAGAAACTCTTATTAGAGAATAAAAACATACAATTTGAAAAATTCGATAACAATTTACAAAGTTCTTTAGCATCGATTGAACATTGTCAAAATACTACAAGGTCTATCCTTTATAAGACATCGTATATAAGTCAATATAATGACAGCTTTTTTAAATAGTATTTTCCATTGAGTATCTTTGAAGGTTTTAGAAAATGATGTAACGAACAAATCTCGAAGAGTTGTACAGTGCGACATAATTGAATTGATAATCTATTGAATGTTTATAAATAGCTTCATTGGCCTTGTATTGATTTGTAATGGTGTATGTCAGGTAATGGCTAGTTATATCTTTGGTCGTCTTGTCAAATACATCGATCGACTTGGATGTTTCATAATCGCTACTCTACTAAATTATGCAACGATCATTCTCATGTACTTATGGGAACCGAATGCAGATCAAATATATATTCTCTTTGTTGTGGCTGGTCTTTGGGGTCTTGCTGCGGCTGCTTGGCAATCACAAGTCATCGGTAGAATTTTTTATTTATCACATTGATCTTCTCATTGATGATGTATTTCTTTCAGCTGCTTATACAGTTCTTTATGCTGAAGATGATCCAAGTGCCATAGCAAAATATCGTCTATGGCAATCGATTGGTGCTCTTCTTACTTACAGTGTAAATACCTCTCATACTCTCTCACAAAATAGCTTATTTCTTTTCAATTTGTTTGCTTTTTTTTGTTTAGTATGCGAGTTATGTCACTATCCAAACGACCCTTATTATTCTTTTTGTTTGTCTAACTGTGAGCATGATTTTTTATGGAGGAGTCGAAATTCATGTTCGATGGAAAAAGAATCATGGGAAAGCAACTACAGTGACTGATCATTGTTGATGGAATTTTATTTGTTATTTTATAAGAAATACTTATTTTTTTATTTATGAAAAATTTGCGTGTGAGAAAATCAATAGTATTGTATACGTAAAGATAAGCGAAAATATCGTTCAGTCGGTGTCGATTAACAATTCTGTATAAAGAGTATTTGAGTGTGGGATGTGGATGTGGGTGGGAAAGCTGACCAACCTTCACAATCACACCCTCATTAAAGAATCCATCTGCCTTATTTCGATTCCCATTACGAACAGAAATGTTCTCTTTGATTGTTTTTAACTGTCATTCTATTTTTTTATTTGCCTTCTTGCTATTCTCTTGTTGTTGATTTCATTGTTTTATTTATTTCGTTTTTCTTAATTTCCTATTATTTTTATTCTCATTCTTCTAACATATGATTTAACTAACAAATAAGTCTGTTACGCCTGTGGAGTGTAGGGAGGCGAGAGAGGGAGAGAGGAAGCCCTAAAAACTTTGACTTGAAACTTACACTCACCATTTTCTTCGGAAATATATGTGATCTCCACAAAATCTATGATTCTAATAAATATTCTAATAGAAATCTCCTTCCAATTGATATTTAAACTATTGAATGGGAAATAGCAATAAAAGTAGATTTGATATGATAAATGAGCGATTGACTTCTTTCGTCAGAAGAGTAATTTGTGATCATAAGTTCAATTGTTGGATTGAACTGAATCGAAGAGTATTGAGTCCTTTCTTTTTACTAGAAATATTAAAATGTTGCGTCGATTCCAGGCCTTTATCGGAATCAAATCATTTTTTCTTGAAAATAAATGTGAATTTACATAATTGAAGCAACAGACTTTCGTGATGGACCTATATGGATGATTTGAAAAATTGATTTGTTGATTATCCATTTCTAGTCCAACTAGTCATTTTCTGCTGAATCAAAATCGCAAAATGAATCGATTGTGATATTCATAGCTAGAGATGCATCCTTAACATCATCGTATATCACCAATTGCCAGATATCTTTTGAAACTGTGTACAAATAAACTTCTTTTATCATTGATTGAACTTCATTTAAGGTCATTTAACTAGATTTTTTTCACGTATATTTTTGTTACATCAAAATTTTTCTTGTTGTCTGTTGATCAGTCAATCTTTCATTGCTGTTGGTCAGTTAATTTGTTATCATTGTTGGATGAGCTTTACTGTCTTTTTAGGAACCGTGGTAAAATTTATTAAAATATCTGAATTTTGCCGCAAAATACCTATTTTCAATGCAAAAAAGCTTAAATTTTTTTTGTAAAAAACGGATACTATTAAAAACTTTTTCCTAACACGAGATACCCATTTTAAAATCATGTTGTGTCTGAAAGAGCAGGATTTTTTTGTGGGAACCTTAATCAATTCAACATTTGAAATTTTATTTGATACATCCTTTCTTCCTATTGATCTTTCTCATACGAACTAGACGTCGTCTATATAAATATTTCATTCAATCGAAATTAGAATCCAATAAATGTTACGATCGATCTGTGCTGTTTATTCAATATTCTTGAAATCTTCATATCTTTCTGAATCAATATAAAAATATTCAGTTTTAAATCTATAATATTCTTGTAAAAATTAAATTGAGTGATTTTGATGAGAATGGCTTTGAACCCAAGCATGCTATGTTATTATATTTTCAAATTGTTCGTTCTCAGTATTTTACAATTCACTAAACCAAACACAGATTTTGATAATTTCACTTAATTTGAGTTAGTTTTAGTTAAAAAACTAAATCATATGAACCTTAATTATGAAGACATTCTTATTTTAACTCTTTATTTTTTTTCTTTTTATTTAAATGAACAAAATAAAATATCTCTTTAGTTAATATTTTGATTATTTCGATCATCATCAGAGTATTGTCTGAATCCAATAATAATACTGTATAAATTAGATTCATAGTGATTACCACTATCTAATGTTGGCTGATTAGTAGGCCATAACCATGGCTTATTGATCGAATAATATAATTCTATACCCAAAAAAATCTATCAAAAGAAAAAGAAACATTTGTATATGGTTGCTGCACATATATCATATGATATAATATTGAAGATCTCACCGTAGTATGACTTTAATCTTCCAGTGAACGAAATTTCCCTTTCAAGTGAACAGTCCCAGGAGAATAAAGAAAGGATACAAAAATTATCAAGAGATTTTCGTCTTTAAGTCACACGACTCTATCTGAAAATTTCTAAAGAAGAATTTGAATTTCAAAAAGAAAGATTCAAGAAACTTTTTAGAGATTTTCCACAAGATAGAAATCAAGTACAATAAAAACAAGCTGTTAATGATGAAGAAACTTTGGATGAGGATAATGTGAATGACCAAGAAGAAATATTTACTCAAAGATCATTACCACCAAGACGGAAGAGGTTGGTTAACCAAGAAACCTTGCAATTATTCAGCAAAGATATTGAAATTACACGAAAAAGAGTTTTATTAGAAATCGAAAGAGAAGTGCATTTTTTTAGCTGAATACAGCAACGAAAAGACGTCTTTCACGATAGAGGAAGCAAGAGAGGTGAGTTCAGTATTACGAAAAGGTTTCTTGCTCCAGACATAATAATTAAATCAAGCTAACATGAATTTAAATAGAAGAGAGAAGGTCCTTTTAAAACTTGGCCCTCAATATATTCCTAAAAAAACTTCATGTCCCTCATAAACGTATGGAAAACGAGATAGAAGTGGTTGTAAAAAAAACTAAATAAGATCTTCGTTAAACATAGATGAGCACTACCTAAAGAACGGCTATAGATCTTCATAGGCTCACTCGAAAAGATCTTGACTGATTGTCATGAAAGACAACCTCTATCCGTTCAATTAAAAAAAAATAAAAAAATTCAAAAAATCAATTTGAAACTACACAAACAGTCATCAGAAAGACATATAAATCTAAATTTTTTCATCTAGAAAAATTTGATGACTATAAAATGAAAGTTCAAGCATGTATAGATAAGACTAAAGCATATCAAGATTTGGGTAAAATAAATACACTAGAATCTTTAGTTGAATGAACAAATAATTTTCTTTATGGTTTATAGGTTAATAAACATATTACACAGAAACAATATGAAAAATGAAAAGTAGAAAAAGATGAAGCTAAAGTAGCCTACCTTCATTTCTTACCTAAAGCACGTAAACCACGAACCCCTCCAACACGTGAGAACATTTTGAATATTGTACGAAAGTTCGACGAAAGTGGAAGTGTTCAGGAATTACCAAGATTCGACCGACCTAGATCCGTCAGTACTGATGAAAACAAAGAACGGGTTCGTGCTGCTTTTCGAAATAGTCGTGAAACATCATCAAGAAGAGCTTCTCTAGAACTAAATATACCTAGAACCACTCTCCAACGAATGATGAAAGAGTTGGGATTAAAACCTTATCGTCCTCGATTACTCCATGCTATGAGTGACAACGATCCCGATAGACGTTGCAAATTTGCCGAAATTTTTCTGAATTTGGTCGCTGACGACTCTTCGTTGCTCGATCGAATCCTTTGGACCGATGAAGCTACTTTCAAGTTGAATGGACATATCAATCGACAGAATTGTGTTTACTATGCTGTGGAAAATCCACATGTGATTATGACCCAAGAAATAAATGTTCCGAGCATAACAGTGTGAGCTGGAATTTGGTCTGGAGGCCTCATTGGGCCGTTCTTCTTTCGTGATACTGTTACTGCACACAGCTATCTTGAGATGCTGCACAAAGAGATTGTTCCTGCTATTGAAGATCGAATCAATATAGCAGAAACATTCTTTATACATGATGGAGCTACAGTTCATTACGTTAAAACTGTTAGACACTTTTTGGACGAAACATTTCCTAATCAATGGATTGGTAGGCGCGGAGCAATTGATTGGCCACCTCGGTCTCCGGATCTAACGCCGACTGATTTGTTTTATGGGGTGTGGTCAAAGACCGTGTTTATGCTACACGACCTAGAAACCTTGAAGCACTCAAGAATGCTATCATTGTAGAAATGCAAAGATTACCAGTGGAATTACGCCGACACACTTGCCAATCAGTATCTGAAAGGCTACATCTTTGCAAAGACTTAGAGGATGAACACATTGAACATTTTTTGTGAAAATTTTTGTACTGAAAATACTTCGTAAAGATGTATTATTCTATGTGTGGTTCTCTTGTTCTATTGCTTTAATAAAACTTTTGTTAGAACTCAAACGTACTTCTGTTTTTTTTTTAAATTTATCCTATATCGATACATTTTTGAACAAAGTAATACTACATCTACACAATGTCCATATGCCGCATGTGACTTATGTCATCTAGTATATGTGGTATAAATATAAGGCATAACTGACCAGAGAATAAGAAAAAACTTCAAGAAAAAATTTGTCCTGTTACTTATGGGCCACTCTGTATATATTTGTTATTCGTTCTGTTCTGATTTCGAGCCTTTCGGCAGCCATCGAATCTCAAACATTTCAAAACTGTATCCAATCAAACATCGATTTTTGAGTCTTCGAGCATTTTTAGATCCTTTAATACATATTGAAGTTGCTGGTACTTAAGAAAAGAGACACATTAGAAGCATAATATTAAGTGCTTCAGTAGAAGCAAGTCTATTAGAATAATTGCTTCAAGTAGTGAGATTGATTCGCATTTGTCTGTTTTATTTGACTAACTTAAATCAATGCCTTATATTCAACATATATTTCCTTTAATATTATAATTTTCAAAAAAATAACAAGACTAGAATTCAAACTGAAAAAAACCTTTTCTGCTGCTATAGGTACGCTAAAGATGTTTTTATTCGATTAAAAGGTTTTTTTATTATTTTTGAAAATTGCTAGCAAGTATTAAAATAACAATTCTGAAAGGACTATCCTCCTAAGAATTAAAAAGAACACTAGTTTGGATGTTCGACTAATCTTAATTATAAGAATCCATGTTCGAATCTACTTCTTTCGTTTACTCGATAGGTTAGAACGACTCGAGAATAAAATATCTAT